GATTTTTATGCTAAACTTAGTGACATCGTGAATTCCTGTTTCATACTTGGTGAAAAAAATCCCTGAATCAAAGGTTATTGGAAAAATTTTGAGGTCTTTACTTGAGAGGTTCCAATCAAAAGTTATAGCTATTGAGGAGGCTCGGGATATTGAGAACCTCAAGCTTGATCAATTGGTTGGAAACTTGTAGACTTATGAAGCCCACCAGATTTCTAAGAAAAAACAAAAAGATAATGTGGCTTTTACTAGTGCTCATGAGACTATTAAGACTCTTGAGGTTGAGTTTGATCTAGAGTCCGCAATGACGGCAATGTTTAGCAAATAGTTTACAAAAGTTTTTAAAGAAAAAGAAGCCGAATTTCAAGGACTATAGTTCAAAAGATAAGGGTAATGAAAAATTCAAAACTTTTCCACCAAAAGGTGCTCTAAATACTGAGAAAAAGACTTTGAAGGGCAAGGTGTTAAGTGGTATGAGGTCAAGGGCTTGGACATATTGCACTTGAATGTCCATCAAAAAAGAATCATAAGAAAGCCTCTAATGTGACTTGGGATGATAAAAGCGGGTCAGAGCAAGAACCTGAAGAAATTGAATCCGGAGACGACGAAGATAGTACCTACATGGCATTCTGGTCTACTGTCACTCAACCATCTCCAAAGCCCGTTGAGTTTGCTCATGGTCAGAGTCTGCACCATACTCCTACCTTTGATGGGAATGATTACTTATTCTGGAAGATACGAATGAGGATGTATCTTAGAGCTCATGACCCTGAAGGTTGGCAAGTAATTGAAGAGGATGCTTAAAGTGCTGACAATCCGAGCAATCAAAGAGTTCTGACTACTATTTGTGAAGCAATTTCTGAAGAAGAACAACAACGAATTGCTCACCGCATAAAGGCCAAAGATGCATGGGACATTCTTAGTCAAATTCATAAAAGAGGAGAGTCATCTGCACAACCATCCATTAACTTTTATGCCTTAGTTGCTCGACTATATGAGGTCAAGGAGAAAGAAAGGCAAAAAGAAGATGATGAAACCTCGGAAGACAATGATGAGATTGATGGTGATGATCTACAACTAGCTTATGAAAAGCTTTACAATGAATCTCTGAACTTGTCTAAGATCAATGATAAACTCACTCTCAAGCTCAAAGCATGTGAAAACGAGAATGTCAAGCTAAATGGAGAGATTGCAACACCAAAAAAGGATGTCATCAAGATCTCAAATGATAGCAAGATCTATGTGGAAAACTTCTATCTTGTGAGGCCAAAATGATTGAACTTTTGAAAATCTATGCCATATATGAAAAGAAGATTGAACTCCTTGAGATGTCACAAGTTGCATTAGAAGAGATGGTCAGTCAGAAAGAGGAAGAACTCAAAGATGCTTGAGCCATGATTGCTATGTGGAACAAAGGGTCAAAGACATTGGAAGACATCCTCTGGTCTCAACAGATGAGTTGTGACAAAAGTGGGATAGACTATGATAATGCAGCAGTTCAAAAGGGATAGGCCTCTACATCACATGACACTAAAACTCAAACAAATGGAAAGCTGAAGGTTCAACAAGGTGATCCCTCTCTCCATCAACCTAAAGGGGCTAAGAACAACCAAAATGAGGTAAAACCTATTTTTGTTTGCCATCATTGTGGTAGGTATGGCCACATTCTTCCTTACTGTTATGAGTTGTTTGGTAAGGTGTCTCAAAAATTAGAAATTCTAATACTTCATGGGTTAGGAGACAACCTTACATGTTTAGGTGGAACACCAAGATTCATGATGGTGCTCACAACGCTAAGACAGTTACCAAGACTGCCAGTCCTATTTCTATTAAGACCAAAAAGATATGTGTGAGAAAGAGTGACTTAACTTGTTTTGTTGTTAACAATGCACTGAAAGCATGTGACTCACACATGTGGTATCTTGATAGTGGTGCTCTCGTCACATGTCAGGTGACAAATCCTACTTTACATCTCTTGAAAAATATGAAGGAGGAATTGTTACTTTTGGAGATGGTGGCACTTTTAGAGTCATTGGTAAAGGCTCTATAAGTGTGGTCAGTCTTCCAAAGCTAAAAAAATGCCTTACTTGTTGATGCCCTTAAAGCGAATCTTCTAAGCATCAGTCAAATGTGTAATTCCCACCATGAAGTATTATTTTCAAAACATAAATGTGAAATTTTGGATAAGAAGGGAAATACTGTCATGAATGGGGTTCGCATATCTAATAATTGTTATGGGATTGTTACCACTAATGATCTCACTTGCCACTCTGCTATCAAAAGTAATGTTGACCTGTGGCATCAAAGATTAGGTCACATGAATTTGAAAGTCCTGACTAAGATTGCCAACAAAGAGCTTGTGAGAAGAGTATCCAAAATAGGTAAGAATGTGAATCATGTGTGTGGACCATGTCAACTTGGGAAGCAAACTCATGCCCCTCATAAAAAGGTGAACACACTACTACAAATATAGATAAAGATCACACTTTTTTGGTGTGATGTATGTTTTTTAATCACACCTTTTAAGTTTTATTAAAGTGTGGTCTTTAGGAGTGTGATTAAAAATGGTCATTTTTTATCACACTTTTTAAGTGCCATTAAAAAATACTTTCATCACATCTTTTAAGTGTGATTAATAATATTTAGATCACACCTTTTAAGTGTGATTAAAAACATTTAGATCACACCTTTTAAGTGTGGTTAAAAAATTTAGATCACACCTTTTAAGTGTGATTAAAAATATTTAGATCACACCTTTTAAGTGTGATTAAAAACTTTAGTTCACACCTTTTAAGTGTGATTAAAAACATTGAGATCACACCTTTTAAGTGTGATTAATAACTAATAAAACCTGTGATAAAAAAAAAATTGACATATTTAAAGAATAATCAATATTATTTTTGCACGCGCACTTGAATAATGTAATACGCACTATATACTATTTTTGAATCACAACCATATATTGAATGAAATAATATCATATATTTCATAAATGAAAGTTAAATGTTTAAAAGTATATACAAAGAAATTAATAAAAAAAAAAATTAACTGTGATTACATGCATTAAAAAATAAAAAATAAAAAACTTGATAAAAGTAAGTTCTTGAATTCTTTGACCATATTTTGCATCTCTCCAATAAATTTTTGACCTGAAAAATAAAAAAACAAATTAATTTAAAAACCGCCAGAAGCATATGAATAAACTTACTAATTAATTTATAAACTTACATTTAGATCACACCAAAAATAATGTAATTTATCCAGTTGTTAATATAGCGACCCCGATCTTTTCCCATTTGATTATTGTATCCGGACTTAGGTTCCGTAGCTCCTGCCATTGTATTATGATTGTTACCGTCCTTTAAAAAAACAAATTTTGACATATTTAAAGAATAATCAATATTATTTTTGCACGCGCATTTGAATAATGTAATACACACTATATACTATTTTTTGAATCACATCCATATATTGAATGAAATAATATCATATATTTCATAAATGAAAGTTAAATGTTTAAAAGTATATACAAAGAAATTAATAAAAAAAAATTAACTGTGATTACATACATTAAAAAATAAAAAATAAAAAACTTAAAAAAAGTAAGTTCTTGAATTCTTTGACCATATTTTGCATCTCTCCAAGAAATTTCTGACCTGAAAAATAAAAAAACAAATTAATTTAAAAACCGCCAGAAGCATATGAATAAACTTACTAATTAATTTATAAACTTACATTTAGATCACACCAAAAATAATGTAATTTATCCAGTTGTTAAACTGCCCCAATCCTTTCCCCACAGCCACCAAAAATGACATAATTATTTTGATTCTCCACACAAATAGTATAAAGCTACAAAAGATATTGATACCCTTGTAGAAGCCAAAATAAATCCTCAATGCATGAATGATTTCAAACTTTCTTAAGCTAGAATAATTTAATAATAAAACAAAAAAGTGATCTAAAACTCAAGATATGCACTTGTAGAAAATGACAATATTATTTGAGAAACAAGACATTTAATAAAAGATTAGATACTAAGCACGACACAACAAAGAGAGTAGGGGTAATATGTATACATCCACTCACTTATAGATCAATGTATTGTGCTAGTCTAAAACAATACAGTCTACACCATTCAAGTTTTTTCGGTGTCACTTATAGATCCACTCACTTCTCTCAAATTATTTCCTAGCAAAATACACATTAAACTCCCCTTGCTATTTTTTTGCTTCTTCAGAATCTTTGCTAATTGAATCTAGGTGTGAAATGATATACATAAAACTATGACAAACTCTAGTTCTATCAAACCTTATGAACAAAGTTTCCTTATATATGCCTAAAACACAAAATTATGAAACACCAAACATAAGCAAAATTAAAGCAATTATAGCAATTATAGTCCATTTCATTCCATATTACACCAGACATAAGCAAAATTATGAAAATCATATTCCAAAGTAGCAAAACCAAACAATACCAAACAATGTCATTGAAATCTCAAGTTCATTTTATTTGATACAAGACACCAAAAACACTAGTCGAAATTGTAAAATGAAGATCTTTCTTTTATGACCAAACTTGTGGAACAAAAGTGAAAAATAAACAAATAACATAACAGAGCAAAATTAAAGCAATTATAGCAATTATAGTCCATTTCTAAACCTTTTTTTCTCCTATTTTGTCAATCTTTATTTTGGACCTTTTTAATAAAATATTGAATTCCTTTAAACAGATTCAGATTAATAAAATATTAATAAAATATAAAATACAGTCACATATTCAATTAAACAGATTGAATGTAAACAGATTCAGTTTGAATGTAAACAGACACAGATTCAGTTTGAATGTAAACAGACACAGACTAACAGACACAAATTCATGAAATTAACTGGGCAGTGAGTGTTCAACTGAACCACAATCATAAAAGAAAATTTATTTACTTACCAAGTTGCCCAACTCTGAGACTAGTTTCTTTACTGTAGGCTTGAATTGCTAAATGACTAATCTCTGGTCAGAAAACCTTGTGTGGAAGAATGAACATGAGTACAAAATCAACATTTCCGTGTAATATTTTTTCAAAATTCAAACTATAGGAAATTCAAAACAAAAAAATAGAGAAATAAAAAAATATAGCAAATTCAAGCAGAGGAAGATTGAAAATTGAGGAAGGTAGCTGGAGTTTGATATAAGCCTCTAATATAGTCCATTTCTAAACCTTTTTTTCTCCTATTTTGTCAATCTTTATTTTGGACCTTTTTAATAAAATATTGAATTCCTTTAAACAGATTCAGATTAATAAAATATTAATAAAATATAAAATACAGTCACAGATTCAATTAAACAGAAAGACATTTAATAAAAGATTAGAGAATGTAAACAGTCACAGATTCAGTTTGAATGTAAACAGTCACAGATTCAGTTTGAATGTAAACAGTCACAGATTCAGTTTGAATGTAAACAGTCACAGATTCAGTTTGAATGTAAACAGTCACAGATTCAGTTTGAATGTAAACAGTCACAGATTCAGTTTGAATGTAAACAGTCACAGATTCAGTTTGAATGTAAACAGTCACAGATTCAGTTTGAATGTAAACAGTCACAGATTCAGTTTGAATGTAAACAGTCACAGATTCAGTTTGAATGTAAACAGTCACAGATTCAGTTTGAATGTAAACAGTCACAGATTCAGTTTGAATGTAAACAGTCACAGATTCAGTTTGAATGTAAACAGTCACAGATTCAGTTTGAATGTAAACAGTCACAGATTCAGTTTGAATGTAAACAGTCACAGATTCAGTTTGAATGTAAACAGTCACAGATTCAGTTTGAATGTAAACAGTCACAGATTCAGTTTGAATGTAAACAGTCACAGATTCAGTTTGAATGTAAACAGTCACAGATTCAGTTTGAATGTAAACAGACACAGATTCAGTTTGAATGTAAACAGACACAGATTCAGTTTGAATGTAAACAGACACAGATTCAGTTTGAATGTAAACAGACACAGATTCAGTTTGAATGTAAACAGACACAGATTCAGTTTGAATGTAAACAGACACAGATTCAGTTTGAATGTAAACAGACACAGATTCAGTTTGAATGTAAACAGACACAGACTAACAGACACAAATTCATGAAATTAACTGGGCAGTGAGTGTTCAGCTGAAGCACAATCATAAAAGAAAATTTATTTGCTTACCAAGTTGCCCAACTCTGAGACTAGTTTCTTTACTGTAGGCTTGAATTGCTAAATGACTAATCTCTGGTCACAAAACCTTGTGTGGAAGAATGAAGATGAGTACAAAATCAGCATTTCCGTGTAATATTTTTTCAAAATTCAAACTATAGGAAATTCAAAACAAAAAAATAGAGAAATAAAAAAATATAGCTAATTCAAGTAGAGGAAGATTGAAAATTGAGGAAGGTAGCTGGAGTTTGATATAAGCCTCTAATCTGGGCTGGTAATACTTATTTGAACATTGCGTGACTTTTTCATGACCAATATGGCATGGAGGGCAACAAATCCACTAAGATTTGGCTTGTTCATTGTCTTTCTAAATATATAATGAACTTATTTTTTTTGGGAGCCATCAGTGATCAAGTCTTCTAAAAGTCAGTGGTCAAGTTTCCCTAAATGTTTTAAATATGAAAGCACTCAACAAAATAGTTTTCTAACTATAGTTAATCATGTTGCAGGTTTTTCTTCAAGTTATGGAGTGCTTACTCAATCGTTTTAGTCAGTCAGCATTTATCAATTCTGTTCTGGATACTACTTTTCTCTGTTATTTTCATCACTATTGGCGAGAACTTTCTTAAACATTTAATAACAGACAGATTCATACAGATTATTCCACCTATTATTAAATTCATACCAAAATTAACAGACAGATTCATACCAAAATTATTCCACCTATTTTTTCTGAATTCCACCTAGTTGGTCAATCTAAATTCCAAACAAAACAATTAATAACAGACACAATTAGATGCCAAAACAGATTCAATAACAGACACAATATGAATTCCACACTCGATGATACTTTGTATCATTTACAATGGAGTGTTATTTATGTGTGTCAAGCCAGAAAATGTTGCTAAGCCGTTTATGAAGTTTGATGAACAGTTTTCATTTACAAAGGAGTGTTATTTATGTGTGTCAAGCTAGAAAAGACCAGTGAATGCATGGTAAAAAATGTGAGCAGGTTAAATCTAGTCAGTAATGAAACTTGTTTTAGATTGAATAAATTAATCCTTGCAATATTTTCTCTATTTGGTTATATTTTGCTCAAAAACTATTCTCCAAAATGGTAGAAGGCACCCGTCAGGGACAACAGCCCAATCAAATTAACTTCTACATAGAAAATCTCCGAGGTGTCATGCAGCATTTAAAACCCTTAGCTAATAGGTCATCATATAAGTGTTTCACAATGATAAAAATAAGATAGAAAATATATATCACTCACCTGAGGATCCTCCTCCCTACGGTGACATATAGAAATCATCTCAAAAAATGATATTCCCAGTTTTCTACATATAGAAATGATCAAGTGGATTCTATAATTGATGGTCCAAACAGATTTTTGTCACATTGACAAGAGTAGGAATTTTACCTCAACGGTGCCCTACCCCCCTATTAGAAGGCCAATTTCCGGCAATTTTTTACCCCTATAGGGCCAATGGTTGGCTGATATGGTGGAATTCTTGTTTCATGAGGCATTTTTCATTACATAGATATCTCAAACAAATGAGAACTATAGTGGAAAATATAGGCCCCGCGACAACAAACCACCGAAACCTAGACCTTTAATCACCTTACTATTAGACAGATGAGTCACTGGTTAGAGACACAATTACTAATAGCCATTACCTTCCAAATTGTAAGACCTATCAAGGCATGGATGGTTCCCTATCAACCCACATTCAGAATTTTTTTCCTTTATGTCATGCAACTTTAGCTGATCAATGTCAAGTTGCTCTAGTAGTAGTATGGATCCAATGATATGAATAAAAGAAACTACAAAAACACAGAAGAACCAGTTGTACTTACATATAATTCTGCATATAAAATTATCTGCATCTACAAAAAAACAAAAGAAACTACAGGGTCAACAACCAGACATGCATATTATAAACTTGTGCTTTATTTAATTCAATATTTAAAAAAAAAAAATCACAAGGTTGTTTTATATATCAGTTTTGTGTGTGTGTGTGTGTGTATTATAGAGACCTAACTAATGAGACTGAATATGACATCACTCGTAGAGTTATCCTTGAACCCACGACAACAAGAACCAACAAAAAGGCAAACACCGTCTGGGTTCCTTCCATCTCTTATATGTAAAAATTATTTGATATATGAAACAAGTTTCATTGGATGTATTCATTACCTAAAATGACCATTACACAGTACTCAAGCTTGACATTCTAAGATTTAATATTTCATTATACCAATGATGGCTATATTATATATGATCTAATGGGCAGTGGAATTGGCATAAAAAAGAAGACAGCGTGTGAACAAAATAAGGCCAAAAGAAAGGGTATGAACAAAAGAAGGCCAATCACTATCATGATGAGCACGTAGCCTATTCTATTTATTTCTTTTGTAGTAGTGATACTGATCTTCAGCTAACAGAGATAAGTTGTCTCAATTCAATCACTCTAGAGATATAATCACTAACTAAATGCAATAGAAATAGAAGGCAGTAAACATCTAGTGAAGCAAACAAAGTGCACCTCTTTCTTCTGTTCATCTGAGAAAGACAATGCTGCAGGAACTAGGCCAAGGTGGACTGGATTCTTAGGGTATAAATGAGAACCAACTGAAATCTGAAGAAATTCACAATTTAGAAAACGCAACAGTGGAAATCTTAAAAAGCAGTAATTACGCCTACAAGCATAATTAAGTAAAATTGTGTTTGTTTTGATGATAGTTGTTAGTGTAGGAATTGTTAAATTATTTTTATATAAAATAATAAAACAAATAACAAAATATAAAAAATTAAATATTAATATTTTAAAAAAAATTCCCAATATATAAAAAATAAAAAAAATAAAAAAATTTCTAATCCCCTCACTATTTTTCTAATACTATCTCTGCCTCTTCCTTCTCAATCCCCCTTCCAAGGCCTTTACTAATGCCAAGGGATTAGGAGTCTCCTCCCCATCTCTCAAAACAAACACGCCATATAGTAGTCACACCTCACTATCAATCTAAATCCCCTCCCTATAACCCCAAACAAACGGGGCCATGTAGTACAATGGAATCATGTTTTTTTTTTTTGCTTAAACATGCTTTGTCATTGTATTTTCATGAAAGAAAATGAGTGAGAGTAATAATTAGTGATATCATTAATGATGTGGCAGTGGGCTCCACCCACTGCCACAGTATTGTTGTGTCTTTTTATTTTTATTTTTAAAGTAGATGCCAATTCATTAGTGGTGATTTACAGCACCATTTTTAGTGGTCTCTATCATTGCTGATGAAGGAAATAGACTTATTAAATGTTCAACAATGATTTAGACTACTAAAAAATGCATCACTAATAGCACTAATGCATTGGAAATGGAAAAAAAAAAATAAAAAACAAGGCATAGAAAGTGGGTGGGCCTACTGCCACATCATTAGTGCTCCCCCTAGTACTCCCTTTTTAGTACTCCCAAGCATTTTTCTTCATATCCTCGGTTGGGATTTTGTTTGGATTCTTCTCGGTAAGAACATATGCAACTTTCAAAAGGCTAAGGTAAAAAAGAATTTTTCCTTTCCACCTTTTAAAATGAACTCCCTTGAACTTGAAAGGCTTGTTGAGATCTCCAATTCCATCATTGGTTTTTTTTGATACTTGATCCATGTTTGATCTCCTTAAAATTGTCGGGAAAAATACCAGAAAAAATATATTTTATTAATAAATAATGCAAAGAAAATGAGATACAAATAAATCAGGCTGAGGTACGAATATCTCGTTTTCTTTAAGGAGATCAAGCCCACTGCGGTAGGAAGAACTGTAATAACCCTTACCACTGTCTACTAATAAGCCATTGATTACTGTTAAACTGAGGCTAAATATGTTAATTGACTGACTGACTGAAAATTGAAGACGAATTGATTGGGTATATTAGTTAAATTGCAACTCTATCTGTTTGCCTGCCAAATTATCTGTTCATGTCTTTGTCTTTAAACTGCTAATTGAAGGCCTTATCGGCGGCCGAATCTGAAATTGATTAGTGTCTTAAGATCAGTAGAATTAATGTGATTTTATGGTGTATCGAATTGAACATTGTTTTGGTATGATTAAATTAGATTGAATTGTGTAATGTCATGAATTAGGCTAATTACCTTTTTGCCACCACTAGTGGGCCACTACCTAAGACTATACTTGAGCCTTATTACCTTCAAACAAAACATTTCCTCAGCCAATTTCGTTGTTGTTGCCGACTAGAGAGAGAGTATAGAGAGATAGCTTCAATTAATCTCAATTTGGCTTGAAGATTAAGGGAATTAAGGAGTGAATTGCAAAATTGAGCTTCCTTGCCTATAATTCAAGACTTAAGGTAGAAATTCATCTTCTCATTCTTGTGTTTAAATTGTTTCTTGCATGGTTTAGAGAAAAGTTGAAGACTAGAGCCAATTTATGGCTCAAATTGTTGTGTTGAAGCTTAATTATTGCATCTATGTATATATATTGAAGTTATGAGGCTGTAGTTCATAATTCCTCACAGGCATGTCCATGTTTTGAGAGTAGACCATGATTTCATCTTGATTTTGTAAGAATTGGCTTATTAGAGCAAGTGTTGGAAGCTTTGAATTGGTTAAATTCATGCATGTTTGCATGTTCTTCATATTCATGAAACTTAGTTTCAATTTGGCTCAATTGATCTTCCTTTGGGGCTTTGATTTTACATTTGAGTTTTGAATCATGTTAAACTTTGAGTTTTGGAATGTGTTTTAGAAAATTGGCCCAAAAAGTATGGTTTTGATGCATCTAAGGTTGATTTGAGCTTGGAAGTTCAAATCTGGAAGTTCCAGATTTTGAACTCACGCTCGAGCGGGGTGACTGGCGCTCGAGCGTGAAAATCGTGCTCCCAGCATTTTGTTCTGTTTTTAAGTCAGCTCGAGCGGGGTAATTCACGCTCGAGCGGGACCTTGTGTCTTACGCTCGAGCGGGTGTCGAGCGCCTAATCGAGCGTGAATTTCACCTATCCAGCACTTTTGACTGTTTTGCAGAACGCTTGAGTGGGTAAGTCTACGCTCGAGCGGATACCTTTGTCTGCATGTCTGCTCAAGCGGGGAAATCTACGCTCGAGTGGGACCTCTGTTTTCTGAAAAATGTTTTAAAGTGCATCTTTGCATCCTCATTTCATCCTAGGCATTCTTAGGCCTAGTTTAAGGCATCTTAATGAGGATATAGATGTAGAACACACCGAGGCAAATTAGGGATTAAGTTATTATCTTTCCCAACTGTGTAGCTTAGTGTGTGTTCGTCCTGTAAACTGTGTAGGGTTGGCAATTGGAGACGCGCTCTAACTTAACTGTAGCCCAGAACTCTGTGAGTAACAACTGTGTAAAGATATGTTCAAAGATGAATATTTTCTGACTGTTAACTGAACTGCTTTCTGAACTGTTACTATCAACTGAATGAATGTATGTCCTATATCCTGAACTGTATTGTGGCATCCTTAGCAACTACTGTTTACTGTTACTGCTACTGTTATAGAGATCTCTGTCGGTTCCCATGTGGAACCACTACTGTTTACTGTTATGATGGCCATCATTGACTGCTCGGTCTTTTAAGACCTACTGTTTATTGTACTACTATGCTAATAGATGTACCACATATGACTGTTAC